AGACTCCTCAATATGGAGAACAAAGAGAGGTTCCTGGAAGGGGTGTGGGGGGGGGGAATGGGCTAAATGGAGAAGGGGCACGAAGGAATCTATTCCTGAAGTCATTGTTGCACCACATGCTAACTTGGATGTAAATTAAACGATACACAGGTTTTTTTAAAAAGCAAAGATTAAAGAAAATCTGCAGAATCCTAAGTAACTTAATAACAAATTATGCTCAAGCACTATTGATATGAAGTTAAAGAAGACTTCTAGCAATCTTTTAATCAGAAAAAAACCAACCTTACGGCCTGTATTACACAGTAAGAAGCAGCCTGTTCCATACCTGTAGTTAGGAGAAGAACGAACAGCGTGACAATTTTATTAAAAATACATCATGAAAGAATAATACAAATCATTCAAAATGACGTTTAACTCAGCACGATAAAACTCGTCATCTTCAAGTTTTAGAAAAGTTCCCAAAGTTAAGAAGCATTACATACTCCTTTTGGAATAACGTTTTAAAGATAAGTCTAGAAGAAAATGTACTTCGTGAGATCCTAATGGAAAAATGCAAGCATGGTATTTAGTACTTAGTCATAGCCCAGGACTGTGTTTCTAAAATATCAGCCAATCCCAACAAATTCTATGTCCAGTCACAGTTACATTGCAACTAACCCACATGGAATGAGGCATTTCCCTAAGCGGGCTGCTTAGGTCCATCATTAGCACAGTCGGGAAATGAGACACAGGGCTATCTTCAGGCATGGAGGGGAGGCTAGGTCCAGAGTGCAGGGAAGTGCAGCTGGACCTCGGTGACAGGAGTGGCATGGAGGGACATATATCCTCTCTGCAGGATAGGGCATTCTAAACAGGTGGCAGAGACGGAGCCAGAATGGGACACCGCTGACGTGAAAAAGTGCATTTATTTTATGGCAGCCTTATTAGCATAAGCCTTGGACTCGGCGACAAGTGTGGCATTGGACGTGAGTGAGTGGTTATGACTTGGGCCAGGGAGAGAAATTATCCAAACTGATACCAGCAGGGGTCACGGGGAAACAGTTGGCTGCGACTATCAACCCTGGCTCTCGACGAACAGGCCTGCCCAAGCTTGCGATTCCCTCCCCACGGGCAGCATGGCCCTGCTGCTGTGTTCTCTGACATTCCAGCAGGTGGGAGAAGGGGGAGCATGCGGTCCCGGGGCGGCCAGAGGGATCCCAGCGGAAGCTACTACCAGTTAGCACTAAGTCAGCAGACCTTAGCGGCTGCGTTTGTCGTGCGGAGAAAATAGAAACCGAGGGCAATTTTTTCCAAAAAACATTTTTCCACGCACCGCTGTCGTGAAGAAGAATGAACCCGAGACCTTCTATCCCTTCTCACTCGAATATATTCTCTGACTGCACGTGAACAGTTAACACATTCAAGGAGCATGTGATAAATGAATTATCTACATTTTTCCAAAAGATTTTATTGGAGCACCTGGGGTGGCTCAGGCATTTGAGCATCTGACTCTTGATTTCAGCTCAGGTCAGGATCCCAGGGTTGTGGAATCGAGCCCGGGATTGGGATCCACACTGAATGTGGAGCCTGCTTACAATTCTCTCTCTCTTTCCCTCTGTCCCTCTACCCCGCCCGTGCATTCTCTCTTTCTAAAATAAAAAAAAAATTTAGGGGCTCCTGGGTGGCTCAGTCAGTTAAGCATCTGACTTT